CTGTTTGTGAGAACTGTGTTAAGCAGTCAGGCAGATATACGTCCAACGACTACGGGGAGAGCTATCTCTTGAAAATAATGAGTTTTTTTTAGTACTTTTAAGCTTTATTGACTACAAGCTTCATCTTTGTTCAGTACCAGTAAAAAGTTGAAGTTTGTGATCAGTAAAGCTGAAAGTCAAAGATCATTCGTTACGAGCAAAACAGACACTTATGAACCATCTGTGAGTACTTCGGTTGCTGATTGCATTCCGAAGAAATCCTGCATTTCCGCAGGGTATGACTGAGATTATGGTGATCTCAGGCAAGGCGAAAAAGAAAAATCCAATCAAGTAGAGTCTTATCATAATTATTATCAGCGGACAATGAAGAATTATGATTGTAAATTCTCCCTCCCTGTTTTTGATGGATAATCCTATTGGAAGCGTTATCTGGGTTACATTCGAGAATTGTGGCAGATAACCGTATTTCATGATTGATTGCAATCACCACTGAAACGTATTACCGTGACATACATATCTATTGCTTTATCGCATTTTGGTTTAGAGATCTGCCTTGTTTTGAATGTTTTTGACAGTTATTATTATTACACCGTTATTGTTATCAACATTAATTTTAACATCAATTTTGATAAAAAAATTTGCATATATCAAAATTGTCATTATTTTTGGAACTGTTTGGATAATTTTTCCAACTGTAAATTCATTGGATTTTTCTTCTAAATTCATTGATATTTAGTAAACTATGCAGCTAGTAACTTTTCCAGTTTCATTACCCAATGCGGCATCTCCTAGTGATTAGCCTGGTAGCGATCATAACGTTCGTTTCGATACAGCTCAACTATTTTCCCGACAAAAATACTTTTTTTTCGGTTTTAGCCGTTTTGAAATACCTTTGATGTTGTGTTGAACATCAGCATCCCTAGTCCACGATGAATTACTTCGTGGTGCTAAAATGTTGATTATTACAACGCGTACACCTTGCGTACTTTCACTTCGTGCTAAAATAAGACGTGTACAACTTAATGGATCAAAACATCCTTATTCTAATTCTTGCCATCACATATATTTATATTTTCCTTTGAAATGTGTGTCCGCACATTCACGTCTGTTTACACAAATTTTTTTAATTTCTTATTTGCATTACTATTTGTGCAGAAGCTTTTTTTTACTCTATTCAATTATATTTATTTATGTCTGAGGTTTTTCCATATTTCGCAATAAAAAGCCGGGAAAAATTATTCCAAATTGGCATTGATTTAATTCTTTCAATAATATTTCCGAGTCCTAAGTCTATCCAGAACGTCTACTTTCAGTTTGACGCTCTAAAGAGCTACAAGCCTGGGAGCGAGCTGAAACACCACGGGATTTCTCTGCCTTGCAGTAGTATTAGAATTCTGTTCAGATAGTTTTGCAGCTTAGAATAATGCCTGATTATCTTGACGTGGTATTTTTCTTGTTCAGTCTCGGAGAAATTCTACATTTTGTGCTTTCTCGGGAAGAAAAGACTGTGAATCTTGGTGAACTTCATAAAGTACTATGTATAAATGCTGTTATTTTGGGGGAGGGGCCGTAACTCACTATGCTTTTCTTATTCATTGAGACTAGCAGTCTGAGCATGTGTCGGCACTCGACACTTCAGAGAGCAATTATTGTTGCAGTTTATGTAATGGCAATTGAGCGTAAGCATGGCAGATTCCACAGGCCCTAGCGCCGCTGTGAGCTTAGAGCTTCAATCAGTAGCCTTTTGATAATCGCTTTTCCATCCACACTTCTTCAGTATAGTAGATTTTTTCAACCAGTGGTGTTATTGTTGGAGTGATTAGGTAAGCGGAGTTCCCTTTAATGCTTATATTGATACTTCGATTAGCTGTTGCTTCAAAGTCGCGTTTCTCCTCTCCAGTGATAAAGCCAGCCACTTCTCCATTCTCCCCTATTTTGAGCCTCTTTCATCCACATGATTCCACAACACGTTGAAATAGTTCCTTTCACCCTTACTGGCGACATCCTCTATGCTCACTTAACACTGCATGAGTGTCATTCAAAAACCTGCGCCGTATCGGAAACACACGGGAAAAGACTCGAAAATTTGTCATTAGACATAGCACAAACCGCTTATGTGCGTGTATAAAGTTCTTAATTATTAACACAGAAATACGTATGTCTAAAACAACACTTTCGAGTTTTTAGAACCTAAAAATGTAGGGAAATATCAAAGTTAAAATCAAAAACAACTGAGGGTATTTTTAAAGCGAATGCTAGCAGCTGCTAAGAGTAATCCTTGCTGGCAAATTGTCGATGATTTTTTCTTTCTGGGGTTTTTTTAGAAGCAAGCTAATGACAAGTTTGACTTCCTAGTATTATCGCTACAGAAAGAAAGAGGCTGTAAAAATATATTTTCTGTTATATCATCAATAAGAAATGTGTGCTTAGTTCTGCTTAATTTGTCTTGATTTTTTTGGAGCAATTTCTAAATATTTGCCTCTTTTTTAGGACTCCGTTCAAGCGAATTGTGCCGCCCATAGTTAAGCTGATACCGATGTCACCAGTAGAATCACCAGCAGCATCTCATCCCGAAAACTGCGCTATTGAACGACCGGAACAGGTGCAGTGTCCGTCCAGGAAGGGTGTAAGGAAGAAATCAAATTCGTCGTTGAAGCAGAACAGATCTGGCAAGAAGCACTTGTGCACGTCATCAAATCAGGCGAAGAGCTCATCATCAAAGGGGACAAGAAGTGAGCGAGCTAAATCTACCGCGAAAGGTGCGCCTTCTTCGAAATCTTCTGCCAGTGTTTCAGGAAAGAGTTCTAGTGGGGATAGGCCAACTGAAACTTGTGGAAAAATTAATGAAAAATCGCTTGCTTGTGATCGAAAGATCACTGGCCGAGAACCGGCTGCATCCGGCAGTCGTCGATCACCGGCACAGGTGTGCCAAGCAGATGAACGAGGTGGCCTGCTGAAAAAACGCTTATTGTTCCGTTGCCGAACAACTGGTGATAAGA